GTTCACACTGGAGAGCATCAGGGCAGATGGTGAGAGGATCAGATGTGATAAAGGTCATGCCCCTGGTGCAAACCTACATTGAGGGCTTCCAGCCAGGAGGAAGGGGCCAACCAGCACTTTATGTTATTTCATATCAGCATACAGTTATATGCCAGATGTAGTATTTAAAATTTACAGTACGCAGTCATACTGTATCATCATTGTCAAAAGATCTGCTGAAGTGAGGCTGAGAAACTACAAAAACTGTCTACATGCTAAGGCAACTGGACAGGTTCTCATTCAACATCTAGGGCTCTCACTTAACTATAAAACTAGTTGACTGGCAAAATAGTGATAGTGAAAGGAATCAGTTGCAGCTATGGTGGTTTACAATATGTGCAACTATGGACTCCAAACTCTCACCAGCTTGAAAAGCACTTATCTTTTTGAGTCAAAGTCCAGCTTTTCCAGATTTGATCACCAGCTCTCCACTATGAAGATATCTTGTGCTGTGTTTATGGTTTCATTTGTCCTTTTGTCTTCTTCTTTGTAGTAACTGGACCAGATCCGCAAATAGATTGTGATCTTTGTAACATGCTCATGTTATACAGTGTTATACAGCTCATACAGTGCGTTTAAATCCTTGTTTGTACATGAAGTGCGAGCACCCACTGATCAGAATTCATTATGTGAGCTGTTTATGACACTGTAGCCTACAGCCTCACTTCAAGTGCTGAGAGTCAACACAACTGTTTTGTAGTATGTAAACTGGGTAGGTGAAGGAGAAGGCTACAGGCAAATGACGATTTCAATTAAAAAGCACAAAACACAAATTTACCATAAAAATGAATAATAATGATTCACTGAGGATGAAAATAAGTTACAGTTAAAGTGTAGTTTAAAAAAAGCTAACAATAACTGTCATATTTTAACATTTCACAAACAATGCTCTCCTATCCACTACCCCAACCTGCACTCCTTTCTGCACTGGCACTGCCACTGGCTATAGAAATGTCAAGAATGTAGTATAGATTTTAACTGAGTTTCCAGAAAATCTGCAAAATACAATGCTAAACAATATGCATTTACATCCACTTATGTGAATATAAAAAGTTGGGTGGTGCTAGACCTCCAGCCTGTGCACCCCCTTTTTTACTGTACACAATTTCTATTTATTTTTAAGCACAAATGCATAAAAATAGTTGGATGGAAACAAGTCATTTGCATTGTTCCCCCTTCTTCTTGGTTCCACCCTGGCATCTGAACTTCTGTTACAAAACTCAATTTTTTCACAAATGTTGGCTGTTTTGACGACTGAACTATCATTTTGCTTCACTTCATTACTATTAGGCTACTACTTGAATTGCTGAACAACCAAAGATGTGAGCAACAGAGCTCTGGGACCAGGCTACTGTACGTATACATAGAGATGTGCAAGAGAAAAATGTTTCTTTTCAGCTTACAAACTGTGGACAAACCGTTCGGTCAGTTTTTCAAGGCTGCTCCAATAACCGACCTTTTATCTTCTGCTGTCATTTAGTAATTATAATAGGCCAACCCCCAACCTGTCTTCCCTCTGCATGCACGCACACATACACACACACACCCTCCCAAAAATAATGAAATGTCTTTCCTCCTGAGGTAGTTGAAATAATGGGCAGAGAGAGCGAGTGGGGGAGACCATGAACGATAATGAACCACCTCATTCTCCTTTTTTTAAATTCCTTCTCTGCTTCCCCACCCCAGCCTCCCCATCACATCACCCAACCCCCATCCTTCCATTCCTCCTCCTCCCTTACATCCCACCATCACCTACAAAATTTCTCCTTTTTATTTCCACTCCAAGCACATCCACTGACTCCCAACCTCATTTTCACTCCTGCTCCTGTCGATCGTCCTCCTTCCCTCAGCCACACAGAGCCAGCGCCCTAGCGTCTCTTCATCCTCCTCCTCCTCCTCCCCCTCCTGTCTCCTCTCCTCACCCATTTCTACATTGTCTGTAGCATCCCCCCTTACATGCTCCCCCACCCCCCACCCCCTGCCAGGAAGCATCCTGGGTAATTTCCTCCTCTTATTGAATTGGGACGGGGGGCAGATGGAAGGAAAGATAAAGGGATGGGCAGATGAACAGAGGCTTGGGATGAGTGCTAATGGAGTCAGTGGGGGATTCACACATCTCAAATATGCAGTATATCCTCCTCTCTTCTTCTCCTATGCTCCTTTGGCTCATTTTCTCTCCTGGGTAAATGCTTCACTCTCCTTCTCTCCCATTTACCCTTATTCCCTCACTCTCTCTCTCCCCATAAAAAACACCGAGACAAAAGACTCCAGCCTTTTCTTCACAGAATGCTATTAAACTATCATGCACACTGTCTACTTCCTCTGAAACACTTACACACACAGTCTGAACCTAATGCTCCCTCATGTCCTATGTTATTTCTATAGGTGAGTGAGTCATTGCTCCTGGCTTCCTGTCTGTACTTCTGCTCTTAGGGGCCAAACACTATAATCTTTTTCCAGCAGTCTCATCCTGACACACACACACACACACGCACACACTCTCTCTCTCTATCCTTAACTCTTCAGGCTACAAGACTGGAGACTAATGTCTGATGACTAATACATAGCACATATGAGTGTGAAGGTGGAGGCAACAGATGTGTGAATAAACAGCACAAGTTATGCAACTTTTCAGAAGTTGACTAATACAAGTAGTCTCTTTCGTAGAACTTGACCAAAAGATCAGTTAAATGTTAGCTTATCCTGGATAAAATGGTACATACAGTATGTTGGCTGATAGAGGACATGGTACAGAAATACCAGTGATATACAGCATTTGAAGTCATTTAGAAACAGTGTCTCCATTACAGCATACTGTATATAGCAGCGTGGCATGCGTATTTTTAACTGATAAATGTTCCACCTGGTACATATCTAAGTCACAGTTATCAAAACTGTCAAACTCAAAATTCACTCTTCAAATCAAACCTTACTGACGTCAGTAACTAAAGACAAGGCTGCAGTGTTTTATTTTCTTTGCACTAACAAATGTCATAAGCACTTTAATTTTCTCAATCAATACATTTCTAGGTGTGTAAAAGGTCAGAAAATAATGAAACATGTCCATCATAATTTCTCAGAGCCCAAGGTGATGTCTTCACATTGCTTATTTAGTCCAACTAACAGTTCAAAACCCCAAAGATGTTCATTTTACTATCACAGAAAACAGCCAATACTGACAAGAAACCATGGATTTTTCCTTAAATAGTTGCAGATTTATGTTGTGTTGATTGACTAAATTAATTGTTTCAGTTCTATTTTGCACTTTTTAATGAACTTTAAAGTTCTGATGCTGTGTTAAAAACTTCTCCATGAGCCCTTGTAATGACCTGACAATGTAAAGGTGAAAGATGCTGAATAAAGGCACTTCCATTGTGTGACTGCTGATCAATACAGGAACACTCACAGATGTAGTCTGTCTATTTACAGTATGTCACAACACTTTATTACTTAGACACCTGGCTATCCTGCGGTCACAGTGGATAGACTTTAATTTGATATTAACACCGTTGTGAGAACATTTTAGCCAGTCCTCACACCTTCAAAGGGCTGTTTAATGGTTCAAGACTTCAGGTTAGGGTTAGATGTTTAGTTGTGATGTTTTGTTAGGGATTAAGTCCATGAGTGTCCTCACAACGATAAAAAGACCAGTGAGTGTGTGTGCATGTGACACTTGGACAGACTCAAATACAGACGGTGTAAGCCAGCATATCTCTCTCTCTCTCTCTGTCTGTCTCTGTCTCTGCTAATTAACTCTGTACTCAGAGGGCTGGCTTATTGGAACAAACTCAAACCTATGTCCCCCACCTGGTATCTACACAAACACACAAAACAAAGTAGCTGATGATGTTCCTCAACACATCTGTAACTCTTTTCCTGTCTCCAGTAGATTCAAAACTGTCTAAGGAGAAAATCTTTCACCAGACTTCCTGGCCCAACTTGGGGTTGGGCAATAGATTGGTGTTAAATCACTGTCATCAGCTGATTCTATTATTGCTGCTGGTTATCTGTTTTTTGATATCACTGTATATTCAGTATTTTGCCGTTTGGCCTGTTGGTCAGGCAAACAAGTTATTTGAATATGTCAACATTTTCCCTTTTTTGGCATTTTGTGGACTAAATGTCTAATTAAAAAAATGGAGATTACTTGGCAGCAGATGACAAATACTGTAACGTAAGAACCTCTCCACACCTACAGTGTGCTAAGTGACTGACTGTATATCAGAGGTTTTCATTCTGTCTTTTGTTTTGTCCAGATCATCCTGCCTGTCTAACCACTTTCTCAGATCAGGTCATCTTTGGAAGCCACCATACAATGCTAGTTAAATGTATGGACACACCACTGAATTGAATGTGAAAGTGTGTCCCAGCTATTGACTGGTAGTGTGAAGAGAATATAACAGATATAAAAATGATACTGCCTTACACATAATAAGAAGAAATGGTTTGATCCACTGATGTCCACAAGCATCAGATTGAAACACTGATATGTCCTGTCAGTCAATACAGCTTTTATTGCAGGCATGAGATGGTGAGTGGGAGTTTTCTTCATACCAAAGTACTTGCTCAAGGGGGATTTGTTGGATTTTCCCTATGTAATAATATTGATAACAGTAAGGTCTAAACCTTACTTTGTAAAGTGTCCTGAGATGACTTTTGTTGTGATTTGGAGCTATACTATACAAATTTGATTTGAAGTATCAGTGGGCCTCCTAGTTTTCTCCTACATGCCTGTCACAAAGAGTACTCAAGTATACAAAAAACCTGTTGGTGTAAAGTAGTTCTAAGTGTCACTCTCAAGAAAATTCTTGTGGTCTCAGGGTGTATTGAGTCTCACACACACACAAAACGCACACTCTGTCTGATAGCACAGATAGACACCTACAGTAAATGTGGCACTGCAGCCTCACCTTGGAGCCCATGATCACATTCAGTATCTCTGCTGCAGTAACCTCACATACCTTGTTGTTGCTCATGCACTGCAGCTTCATCTGTTTCATGTAGGTGGTGGTGAGAGGCATGTTGTAGTCGATCACCTCTGTCACCAGAGAGCTTGGCCTGTCGTTCTCTGGAGAGGACAGAAGGGGGAAGAACAGAAGACTTTACTCATTTTATCAGCAATGTTTGGTTCTCATACAGGTGCAACTCAAAAAATTTGAATACTGTTGAAAAGCTTTTCATTCCCTGTAATTTAATTCTAAAAGTTAAAATTAATTTTCTAGATTTATTACATGTAAAGTGAAATATTTAAAGTAATTAGTTTTAATTTTGATGATTACAGCTTACAGCTCATGATAATCAAAAATCCAGTATCGCAAAATATTAGAATCTTTCCAAAGACCAATCACAAACGATTTACAATACAAAAATGTCCAGCTTCTGTTCATTTATGCACTCTTATTTCATTTATTTATGCAACTTAATCAGGGCTCCTTTAGCAGGAATTACTGAATTGATGTAGCATGGCATGGAAGCAATCAGCTTGCGGCACTGCTGAAGACCAGGTGGCTTTGATAGCAGTTCTACTGTATTGTTGGGCCAGGTGTTTCTTATCTTCCTTTTTAATACCTCATAGATTCTCTGTGGGGTTCAAGTCAGGCGAGTTGGATGGCCATAGTCAGTAAAGCAGTGGTGCTTTTTGGCACTGTGGGCAGGTGCCAAGTCCTGCTGGAAAAGAAAATCAGCATCTCCATAGAGCTTGTCAGCAGACGCAAGTGCAAAGTGCTTTAAAAACGTCTGGTAGAGAGCTGCATTGACTGTGGACTTGATGAAACACTGTGGACCAACACCAGCCAGTGGCATGGCACCACAGTCATTGCTGACTGTGGAAACTTCACACTGGACTTCAAGCATTGTGGATTCTGTGCATCTCCACTGTTGCATCTCCACTTTTCCTCCAGGCTCTGGGACCAAGGTTTCCAAATGAAGTGCAAAGTTTACTTTGATCTGAAAACAGGACTTTGGACCACTGAGCAACGGTCCAGGTGTTACGGCAAACCGCACACCAAAAGAGCGACTGGACTCAGTAATACGCGGGACTCAAACTCAGGTCAGAGAAAGATATTTATTTAACAGAGTATGGAAAGGAAAGGAGGTGGCGAGGATCAGACGCGGAGCTGCCGGTGTGGGTCTTGGGCGT